GAAAGAAGTGAAAATCCATCAGAGGGGAGAAAATAGAAACTTTTAAAGGTTCCTGAAGGGAGCTGATCCTGACATGTGGGTCGAGCTCTCCTCGTGTTCCCGGACTGCTACAAATGGCCTTTTTTGTTGGAGCGTCGCTTTCTGGGACGTTTGCTTTGTGATTGAGACACGAGAGCTGGATTTGGACTGAAAGCTGTTTCAGCTGTTAGCGGCGTGCTCACCATGGGGTGGGCTTTACTGGATACAGTTTAATGCAGCGTTATCCACCTGCTGCAGGAATGACGCAGCTTTCAGTGGTGCACTCAGTGATGCTACTTTATTTTATTTATTCAGCTTCATGAGTGGATTCTTTGCTAGTTTTCACCAAACTCGTGATCTTCCATGATCTGGAAAAGGTCATGCGTGTCGTGAATTACTGTGCCGTTCGTACACGTCCGTCTCTTTTAGCTCGTTTGCAGATGGTGCAGCAGAGCTTTGTATACGGCCTCGCTGCACTCGCTCTCTGTCCATTTCAGAATTCACTTGAAGATTTTTCTTTGCTTTTTAAGGCTCTTAATGGTCCGAGTCATTCAGCTCTCGGTCTCTCATGTCCTACGGGCTGAGGTCACGCCTCAAACAAAAAGGTGACAGATCCTTTGAAGTCGCTGCTCCACGGTTTGAATCAGTTACCGCTTGACATAAAAGAAGCGCCGTCCATTTCTGCTTTCAGGTCGAGGCTAAAAAACTCACCTTTACTCTCTGGCTTTTCCAGCCCACTGATCTCTCAGCTGTGCCCTGCTATGGGCAGAAATCTGTGCCATCAGAAACTGAATTTGAATAAGTTAAATGTGAATTTGAATTGCTAGGATTAAATCTGAATTGTAACTTGAATAAATGCTTTTACAAACTGAATATGAATTAGTCTAATTTGAAATTCAATTTATTGGTTTGAAAATGATCATCACTAAATTTAAATTTAATTTTATATTTTGAAAATGAATTCATTTGCTTTGAAACTGTATTTTATCCTTTAAAAATTTAGCTCTCAAATAATTTCAGTTTCAGTTCTCACCATTCAATTTCAGTTCCAAAATTCAGTTTTTCGGGTCTTACATCCGGTTCCGGTTCAAGCGCAGATTAATCGAACTACGTTTTACTAGCGGACCGAAAGTGTTACTGACGGGAATCTACAGCATCTTGAGCTGAATTAAGACTTCAGAAGTCATTCGTCATGTCGAATGAGCAGCGGATAAACTCTCAGGTTGGTAATAAATGTATTACATGTATAAGAACAAGCGTCATGTTAACAAATGATAGCCGTACAGTAACTTTTATGCTTATTGTAGCTGCTAGCTAAAAACGCTAATTTAGCGTAGTTTGCCCTGAATTCAGCTTTGACAAACAAATATGATCGACTGTTTCTAGTAGAATTCCAGAGTACCCCCTCTGTATGCTTGCAGAGACCCCTACAGTAGGGAAACATGCAAAACGTGTCCAAACCTTTGTGTTTTAGCTTTATTTATGTCTTACACAGCATCCCAACTCTTTAGCTAACTTAATAACTTTAGCTAAAGTGAATAGTCTAATTCATAATTGTAGAGCAGAAACTGAACGGTGAGAAGTGAATCTGAAATTATTCGAGAGCTAAATCTTTAAAGGATAAAATACAGTTTCAAAGCAAATCAATTCATTTTCAAAATATAAAATTCAATTTCAATTTAGTGATGATCATTTTCAAACCAATAAATTGAATTTCAAATTAGGCTAATTCATATTCAGTTTGTAAAAGCATTTATTCAAGTTACAATTCAAATTCAATATGAGCAATTCAAATTCACATTTAACTTATTCAAATTCAGTTTCTGATGGCACAGATTTCTGCCCATACCCTGCTGTCCGTATTTGTTATGTTTAGGCCTGTTAACTCAATATTCTGCCCATTTTTTACTTTTTAACTCCACGTACGCGTGTGTTTGGGTAAATAAATGCTTTGTAAAGCACGTTGTCTTTAAAAGCTGTGTTTAAATGTGCTAAATACATTTTACTTGCAGAAGGAGAAAAGTTCTTTTTCTGACTTAATGATTGAGTTGATATTTTATTTTATGTTGATTTTATTTGTATTTTTTTGTTTGTTTCTTTTATATGTCCAAAGTAAAACGTTGTCATCATCGTCATCGTTATCATCAGTTTGTTTCAGGAAGAATATTTTATGTTTTTAGTAGCAGGCGAGGGGCAGCCAATCAGAGGAAAGAAGAGGGTGAACTGTGGGGATCACGAAGGCCAAGCGAACATCTCAGGTCCTTTTTAGAGAAACCTGAAGAATATCTTATTATGAACAACACTTACTCATCTAGCGAGGACAGGCTGGCGTTGCTGGGATGATACGTTTTTAAATGAGCTGACCTTGAAAACGTCTCAGAAGCTTAAGTACTTGAGGTCAGCCGCTGAAGCCGAACAGATTGCTCTTCCAACCCCCCGAGTGTTGATTTCTGACCTGCTGCACGAGAGTTTCACTTCTGACTTTACCAAACATGCCACGCTGTGCAGCAGCTGCCTCCTCTGGCACAGTGGGTCAGCCCTTTGGGATGACGGATGCCCTCCTTGTGTTATTATCCCAGCGCTGGCTCCTCTGAAGTGAGCCGGCGATCCAGCGTGAACCCGCCGCCGCAGGGAGCTGCAAGTGTGACGGCTGTCCTGACACTCTCCTTCCACTGGTGTGTAAACTCAATTAGAGGAGCGGCTCTATGCCACGCTGCACGGCTACGAGTCAGTAACTCACAGCAGGACAGCTCGACTTTCTGTCAGTGTGTGTGTGTGTGGCCTAATATGGAGATAGTCCTCGTTTGGGATGACAAATCACGCCACTTTCAGGGAGACAGTCGGGCCCACCGGTGTTGCTCATGCCGACCTTGATTGGAACAATAAATCAGAACCAACAGCTGTCACGTAATCTCTGGTACAGTCGCTAATCAGACACTGAAAGGGGAGAAAAGGCTCACAAACATCAGTGAACGGCAGCATTACGCTGACGTATCGACCGTGGCGTCGCCGTCGCTGGATGAGGCTCGAGCCCTTTAATGTGCTGCAGTATTTCTTTTGTTTTTTTGACACCAACCCCCCAAAAACTATTCAGACGTCATTCTCACCTTCTGGAGGTTTTTACCCCTCAGCTGTAAAAGGCTGATGCGCGTTCTCGCCACCCTGCCGGGCGGGCGGTGTCGTCACGGTGTGTTTGCGATAAGTCGAGAACGAGGCGACCTAGGAGCTTCAAATTGACACGCAGGTGTATCTACTAAGTGGCTGAGGGTCAGCATGTCTTCAAGCTCGGTTTTTGAAAGGTCACAGGTCACCTGATGGGCGGCAGCCTATCTCCAAACAGTCACAGTCTGATTTCTGAACGCAGACACCGTCAGTCCGAGTCGGATGTTTGATCAGGATCTGGAAAATTTACTGATTTTAATAATAAAACAAATTTGTTTGATTATGTAAAATGAAGAATATGTTAAAATAATTGGTTGCTTGGTTACAGAGACTTTGTTTCTTGGTCTTCACGGCTTGTTTCGATGACTTCATGGCGGCTGCTCAGCGGCATCGGGAAGATTTAAAATTTGCACTGACCGTTAAAATACGTTGACGTGCACGTGCGATGTTTGAGTTTCTCTTCATTTAGATGCAGTTTTCTGTTTGGATGCAGCGGTAAGTTTTCACACAGCACGTTGACCTGATCCAGAGGCAAACATGCAGCAGGCTGATCGCAGACTGACTCCGCCTTTTTGCTGTTTTGCTGTTTTGCTGTCGTCTTTGAAGATGGCGGCTGACGTGGTCACCGCAGCGTCATTAGAGCTGAAAGTATTTGGACAGTTTTTACTCTCAAACAGGGATTCACATTGTTTTTCTATACAGAACCTTGTGCAAACATCTTTGGCAAACATCTCCTCAGCTGTGTTAATAAAGAGAACGTGGATTAGTGTGGAAGTGAGCGGAGAGGTTGGCGAGTGATGAAGGCGTGTCCTCGCCGGCTCCTCGGGGAAACGCACAGCGGTGGCTCTTCTGCTGTGTCTGTCTCTTAAGTGGCTTTAAAAGCCTGCAGGAGACGCCACTCCCACTAATCTCAACGGTGGATCGTCTCGCTCTCGTACAGTTCGAGTGCCCTGGAAGCTCGCACTCTCACAGTCTCACTGCCCCCCCCTCCCTCTCCAGGGAGCTCTGTAAATGCCACACGCCAGTTATTTCCATCTGCTCTGTGAGCAGCACAGACTCCACCCCTGTTACACCGACTATCGCTCTCTCCTGCTCAGACTTTGGGTTATCATTCAGGATCCAGCGTGAGACTTTCGCCTTTCATGCATCAAAGTAATGAAGAATATAGAAGCGTAAAAGCAGGACTGATAAAGAGCGAGCAGAGAGGAGCAGGGAGATTAATTCACACCGATGAGGAGCAGATTGTATCTCAGGCTCCGATTTATGCCCCTGTTAGAGAAGTCGGTCTCAGAGTGGTTGGAAATGTGTTCAGTGAGGTCACTCACACGTGTTCCTGTGCACACAGGAAGCAAACGGTTTGAGCACATGCAAGAGTCAACATCACAACCTTAGTCGGTGCTCAGATTTCTCACAGGAAAAACTCAAACTTCCTGTGCAACGAAGGTTTAAATATATTTCACCAAAACTGTGGACGGTCTGTTAGTGCAGTGACCTCACAGCAGCCATGTTATTGGTCACATGACGTCATTAAAAGGCTCCAAAAGGCTCCAACTGAGGTCCAGCTCAGGGGAAGCTAGCAGACAGCTAGTAGCTACACCTGTGTCACCATCCACCTGTCAGTCAAAGAGGCCACGCCCCCAACTTTAAGCACTAACAAGAACAATCTGTTTGTGTATCCGCCCGTAAACATGTTTATTTTTTCTATGAACTTTAAACGTGGAGCCTCTGCTGGACACTGGAGGAACTGCAGATTTACAGATTCACTGATATCTTTCTGTGTGTGTGTGTGTGTGTGTGTGTGTGTGTGTGTGCGCTGTCAGTGCTCAGAGAGTCAGACTGCAGTGTTCCTGCCAGAGTTCGCGCTCTCACCTCAGGGCAGCTTCATGGAGGACGCCACAGAGGATCACTTCCTGACCTACAGATACGACGACCAGGTGAGTCGCCTGCTCCTCTCTGCTGCGTGCAGCACGCCGTGAACTGAGCCGCTGATCGTCAGTGAAGCTGACAGCGTTCAGGCTGTTCATGCATGCAGATGGCGTTTACAGCGCTCGTGTTTGTGCGTGTGTCATAGAGCCGGTCCGGCTGAAGCAATGAGATGTGACATGTCTTGCTGACAGTTTCTGGAGGTCAGCTGTAGTTTGCTTCTGACATGGATGGAATACGTTTCTGTTCTCCTACTTTGTGTGGATGATGCAGCGAGCTCTTCACAGGCCAGAGACACAAACACGTCATAACACAAAAACAGAGAGACCACTACACCAGCAAAATCGTATCGCGAGTGCAGTTTTGTGAGCTGCGGGTGAGTCCCGCCTCTGATAATGCGCTCCGATGTTGGCGAGCTCGTCACAGAGAGATTCGGCTCTAGAATAGAAGAGAGTAGAAGTTGGTGCAGCTCAGGATGAACTTCATTCCTCAAGAAACATGTAAACATGGCTTCTGAGCGTGCTACGCCCTCGGGAACGGCGCTGAGCTGCGAGGGGATCCTGGGAGAAATGAGCATTGCGGCCTCCTGATGCCAAAATCACTGTGTGTGTCGTGACATCACGCATCCGTGATTTATTCTTCAGTTCTCTCGCTGTTTCCTGTGGCGCGTGTAGATTGTTGGGACGTATGAAACGTTAGTCACGTAGAGCAGCGGCTGCATGGCGGCACGACTTCAGCCCAGCGCTCTCTTCTCCTCACGTCTGACGCCTGGTTTTACTTGGATGCTCTGCGGCCGCGAACGCCTCACACGATCGTGTGATTGGTCCCAGCATCAGTGCGATCTTAACTCAGGCTTTCTGAATGAGCGTCTCTCTTTTAAGCATCAAAAACAGGAAGCTGCTGCAGCATCGCAGGTTTCACTGCAGCCTGACCTCTGTGGGTCAGAACTTACACCGTGTCAGGGATACGTGTTCCTGTATAAAACAAACTGATTAAGGCTGCGTGTGGGTGTGTTCAGTGTTGGCGTGAGAGCAGATGGCGTTACCCCAGTGGATCAGAAGCCCCAGGCTGAGCGACAGGTGGACCGGAGGCTCCGTCTTCTTCGCTGTGGCACTGCGTGTGCTAACTGATGCACGCCGCAGTTGTTACTCGTCGGCGCTGCAGGGAGCAGATCTGACTGTCAGCAGTGTGTTTCCTGTGTTTTTCCCACCAGTTAATAATGCACTGTCACGTTTCCCAGCTCGCCGTCTGTCCCGCGGTCACGTTCGTGTGGCTGATACATCAACCAGGTCCCAGAGGGCGTTCCCCACACATCCCCAAAACGGTTTAATTTGAGTTTATCTAAAGACGCCATCTTTCAGTCGCCATGACGATCAGATGAAGCAGCGAATGCTCTCCCGTCACAGATGGAGAAGACGGGAAGCAGTTTGAAGCGCTGCAGCGCTGCGATCACCGAGCATCGTGATTCAGCTCGCTTAGGTTTGTTTGTAGCCTGAAAAGCGATTAAAGGTATCGATGAACGATTGATTCACTCGCTCATTTAATTATCCGAGTTACAGTGACTGATATAAACGATTTACTTGATTCGTCTTCCTGGACATCCAAAGTTTTAGTCGTTTCTATTTTAAGCTTGGTTTTCCGACTCGTGCTGTCTGTAGTTTTCCCGACTGTGTCTTTGAGGCGTCTGAGTGGAAAACATATATTGAACATGCTGCTGAGCTGACCTTCTTTGCTTTCTTGGGCGAATATTTTGGTTTTACCATAAACATTGTAAACTGAGCAGGTAACCTGTGTGACTCAAATCACACACCTGGTAATTAGTGCCAATAAAATCAAAGAAATGTCAGGTAACCACATTATTGGTTGCGTGATGTCAATAAAATGCTCCAATAGGCTCCAAACACGGTGCAGAGTTCCAGTTCAGGTGAAACTAGCAGCCGCCTGTGTCACCATCCACCTGTCAGTCAAAGAGGCCACGCCCCTAATAATGCAAACATCCTCCTGTGCATCTGTTACGATCGTCTTTAAATCACCATTTTTTGTGATTTTTGAGCAGCAAAAGTGTGTTTGCTTGTTTTTTTTCAGTCACAGCTGCCACTTTTTATTTTTGTTGAGCACTTACACACTTTAAAACCCCGATTCATATTAACCACTTACATCTGCACAGAGCTGACCTTTCCTGTGAACAACTCTCTTTAAAAGCTCACAAAAGCTTTCACGGCCGTCGGCTCGGCTGCTGGACGTAGGTGTTGGTGCTGCAAGAGGTTTTAGTCTAATGATGCATTGAGTCGTGTGTGTGTGTGTGCTTTGATGAGGAGCTAATTTTGCTGTTGGGGGGAAAAAAAACAACTTGAAAAATGTAAATTGTTCTGAGAGGATTTCTCTACTTTTTTACACCATTGGACTTAAGCCTGAGCATGATGTGTCTCTCACACTCACACACACACACACACACACACACACACACACACACACACACACACACACACACACACACACACACAACGACCCCATTCTTCTTCTATAACTTCTGTAATATGCAGATTTCTTTCCTCCGTTTGATTCAGCGACGCAGCACGGTGAAGGAAAGCGATCCATCTGGCTCTGAGTGCGGTTAATAAGGACATCTCTGTGCACGGCTTTGGACACAACCACATAAATCTTGTTAAGAACTTGAGAGCACGCTGTGTTTTGAAAGCCTTGCAGCTGACAAATATCATACAAATGGTCCCTAATGAAACACAGGAACCTTGTTTGGAGTGATTTGACTTGGATGAGCTGTCTGCAGCTCTCCGCCCGTCTCAGGGTTGCTGTTGTTGCACCGCCGTGTGCCAGAGACTCACAAAGGCTGAGGACGGCATTGTGTTGCTGTAAGGACATTTGTGAGTCTAGTGTACGGATCGCTGGTGTCTCTGTAGGTCTGTTAGAAAGGAGTGAATCCCTTCTATCAAAGACTTTTCTGCAGAGCTCTGTGATTCTCCTGCAAGTGCCTGTCGGGCACCAACAGGAGACCTTCAGAGAACACCTCCCAGCTTCAGTGGAGAGTCAGTGCATTTGAGAATGAGTGTAACTTGTGGCCTTTAAAGACTTCTGCGCATCTGTGTGTCCAGAAAAGTAAAACACTGCAAGTTTCCATTCTGAAGAGGAAAGCTGTACCACAGCCGCACAAATACAGGCTGGGACAAGTTACCGACATATGTCGCTTATATTAGTTATTTGGCGAAATATCTCAAATTACTGATGACTAAAAATGTATAAAGTAAGGAAGAGGTGGGAGAAACACTCTTCATCCATGCTATCAGTGCTGATGTTGCATAGTTTGTCCACCAGAGGGCGCTCTGCAACATCTCTGTTTGGCGTGTCTGAAAACGGTATTCATTTTGCTGACCAATACTTTTTGTCACCGACCTTTGTTTCTCACCAAAATACGATGATGAAATGTTTTTACTTTGGTCAACCAATAAAAATGAGATGAAAATATTGTGGAGAGATGAGATCCAATCAAAACTGATAAAGTGCAGAAAGGCGGGACGAGTCCAGCTAGCTCCCAGTTTCTCATGAAAATGTGACAAAATGCTTAAAGAGAAGAGAAAAGCAGACACATGAACACATTTCATGTGACGTCGAGGAAAACAAGACGCTTTGTAAACTGTGAGGAGGAACTTTTACTCTTTATTTAGTCTCTACAACCTGATTCTGTTTAGTCGACTGAAACGAAAAGAATTTATTATTAACATTACGACTAAAATCTAATTATTATTTGCTGTTAATTGAACACTGACTGGAAACAGAGTCGAGTAGACGAGTGATCCGCGACGTGTTATGACAATAACACAAAATTAATATTCAAATGCAGTTTAAAAATATATCATTAGGACTCAATCAGAACTCCACATAACAAATGTTTGGAAACCTGTTTATGTTTCTACTCAACATGTGAACAAATGAATGTGCAGGAAGTTTTGAACTGTTACTTTTTTAGCTGCATGTTTCTGCAAAGAAAAGACAGAAAATTCTCCAAATATCAGTCAGAGCTGTCAAAGCTGGAAGCAGGTAAACACTGACGAGTAAATCATGTCTGCATGTGAGTCGGCAGGAAGCTGAGAATAAATATTTTAAAAGAGCACACAATGCTCGAGAGCCGGTGTGTTATGTTCCAGACATTTCTGTTACAAACTGAGACTCAAAAGGTGCAAATTGGTGCATAAAAATTCCCCGAACGCAGAAAATGACGTGTCTGATGCTCAAACTGAGCGTGATATTTTCCCAACAGAGACG